TTATTTGCTTGTGGTTTGTGGTTTATAACTTATAGTTGTGTTCACTTTCTGTGGTTGAGGCCATTTTTGTGCTTATGGTTGAGGTTTCGATTTCTGTGGTTAAGGTTTTGATTTCTGTGGTTGAGGTTTCAGGGCTGTATTGTAAGTGTCTAGAAGCTAAAATTCAGATTTCCTTTCTTCCTTCCATCAGATTCAGATCAATTCATCAATGCTCTACAACAAGTTGATACTCTTTGCAAAACTCCAAAGTCTGGAAAGCTTTACTTACCAGTCTGGGGTGATTTATCTGGGAATCTTGCAGTTCAAATGTCTGAGGCTCTCTGAAGCTTGGTGAGACCAGGAGAATCTAGATATGTAGAAGGTAGTTGCCTTAAACTGCGATAGCAAGATTGATGGGATTGATCGGCCATCATAGTATCAATTTGTACGTGATTTAAATGTGGGTAAGTGGTCTAATGTATAATACCTTAAGCTCAAACACAATGAACATAACCATAAATCTCATAGCACAACCACAAACCATCAATTGAGAAGCAAAAACCATGTAGACCACCCACCACAACCTGGTAAAAACCCACAACCATAAAGCTGTACCATCTTTAAAACCTCAATGGAAAGAGCACAGACTCAAATAACTAAATTTTTGTGAAAACTGCTCTTATACTACAAGCGTCGCGAGCCGCGGGACCAGCCGGAGCGCATCGAGCAGCTCTGCCGCGGTGATGCAGATCCCGATTAGATTCAATACGGTCACGTGTCGCGAGCGGCGCGCGAACCCGGCGAACGCGGGCGCGTCCCACGCGATCACCAGCGGGCGGAACGGGTCCGCGGTTTGCGTGACGTGCTCGAGCTTGAGTGTGGTTAGGCGGGGCAGGTTTAGTAACTGCAGAATGGGCCCAAGAATCTGGTGTTGCTCTTCCTCTGCAGACCAGTACATGCTGAATCGACTCAGGTGAAGTGTGTGGATGTCGGATGAGAGGATTGGTGTTGAGAGCCAGGGGGAGCCCTCAGGCTGGATAGTGTTTGTCCTCTTTAAACCAGAAATCGTCACAGAACATTGCGAGGAGCATTGCTTGAGGAAGGCAAGATTGTGGTAGACTTGGACTCTCTCTGAGCAGACAACATGGACATCGACGAGTTGGGACCACGGCACGACCGGGTGTACGTCTGTAAATGTCAGCCGTCTAAGCAACGGCGCGTTTTCGAATAGTGTACATCCTTTCCAGGGATTTTTCTCCTGATTGACTTGACTCACCCGCGCATCAAGCACTTCCAAGTTGCGGGAGCCTGTTGCGAATACCCTCCATCTCCCGCAGATCACACGTGCTCGCCCATAGCGTGAGCGACTGCCACTTCTCCGACCGATTGGCCAGAACCAGCACCGTGAACCGCTGCATTGTCTTGTTATCCATAGACAGGCTGACGCGCAAGGGCACGTTCTGTGCGCGGTACACGGCCCGGCGCAGTGCATGCCCGACGGGCCAGTCGTGCCGGTCGTCAATGCCGATGGCGTTGATGTTCGCCCAGATGGCCGGCGTGCCATCGATAACGGTCTTCCAATTGCTGCATACTGCGGCGAGGTTGCGCCAGGACGCGTGCGTGATCACTGCCATGATGCAGCACTGGCGCATATGGTGTTGACACGACTGGTGTGGATCCGTCTGAAACTCGGAGTCGTCGACAGCAAGATGGAATATGACGAGCAGGAGCTCGGTGGGGAGATTCCGGATGTGAGCCAACATTGTCGTCCCGCTACTGGTATGAGACGGAGAGTGTCCGTCTTGCAGAGCCATCCGAGTCGGGACTCGGAGGCGAGAGTGAAGAAGTGATAACAAGGCCGTGCAAAGCGTACTTTTATACGCGGGCGTGGTGTGGGCGACAGGTGTGACGTACAACAACTTAAAGGACAACAAAAATGACTTGTCCACAACCACAAACGGTCACCTCGTTGCCAGTGCAACACCGCCTCGCTTCCGGGCGGCGTCAATGTTCGGCGCGGTAGCCGCACTGCCAGCCTGAACAAGAAGACGAAGCGAAAATTTCGCGAGTCGCGTCGCAACATCAAGTAAGTCGAGTTGGGCATTAGCAAGCTTGAAGAGATGACGCTGAAGCCGCCGCTGATGGCGTGGGTGTTCACGTTCCGGGTCTGGATAAGGATACCGGATAACAACAACTTCCTGCAATTAAATTGACCAAAAATAGACAATTGGAGCCACCAACTCTGAGAGTCGAGAAGAGAGACTTGATGTCGTCGATCCAATTCGTCAGTCGCTCTGTGGCGCGGCACTGGCGCCTACCGTGATATACCAATAAGGACTAAAAAGAGGTTAAAGCCACCGTCCAGTAGTAGCGACGAGCGTGACGCACCCGCAGCCCCCACATATGCATCCCCAACACCACTCTGAGTACCCTCTCTTCCTCGCATATAAGCATATCCGCGCTGGCAACGTGGTGAGGACGACGGACATCCCGACATGGAAGCCGGAAGAGAGATCTGCGGCGCACGTGATAGCGATGACGCGACTCTCCTTCCTCCTCCAATCATCTTGCAATCATCAACTCCAACGCTGTCGCGGAACCGGCGGATAGCAGCGTAGCCGCCGGGCCAGCGCTAGTGTGGTATGTCGGGAGCTTTGTCGCGGTAGTAGCGTCAGTCCGGTAAGCGGCTCTTATCCACATATGTAGGAGTATGACTGGCTAACCTTCGTTCTTGTCCTTGCCAGGTCTAGGGCACATGGCTCCTGAGCTCTGAAGACGGAGAAAAATGTCACCCCGGATCCCAAAATCATGTCCTAACAGGTGCGCCAAAAGCCACGCCTTGTCGTTTTCGTTTTTGCTGACGCCTTTCCAGTGGGTCCAGAGTCCAGACGAGTATGCGTCAGTCATATACCCATACTTGTCACGCAATATGCCAAAGCTGTCGTTTTTCCGCCTAGAGCCCTCCGCAACGAGAAGAGCGAAAGGACATATGTGGTGGGAGAAAGCGCAGGAGACGACTACGGCAACTTGCTCTTCTTCTTCGAGCTGTCTTGTGATTACCTCTGGCCATTCGTATTCCCCACTGCGACGAGTATGAAGTCAGACTCAGCTGGTGCGTGAAAAGTATGTCCGCGTTTCTTCACCTATACTCATAACTCCTCAGCAACTCCTCAGAGTTAGCTCTTCCAGCCTACTACCACCTCCGTCCCCTGCCCTTTCTTCGCCAAACCCTAATTCTCAAGCCACACAACTGATTGAGTCTAACTCCCACCATGGGCCACTCCTCGACTCGCAATTCGCAAATTGAAAATTCGCTATACTTACATCCGATGCTCCAAAGGAAACCAAACTTCACTGCTGGAATATTTACCATCCCTTCCCCGTCCGCCTTCAACTGCAATCTGCCAAATTCTCTGTCTCCACTCCGCATGCCCACTCGATCTAATAACACTTTTCCGTTGTCCGAAAATGGAAAGTCACGTGCCACCCTTCTTTTCGAAAGACTGCGATGTATCTCGAGGGGCACAGGACGTGCGACCAAACCGAGTGGATCTTCATATGGAATATGTCGAACTCGTGCTACCCAATTCTTTTCTCTCCGCCATTCTGTGGGGAAGGCCGTTGTTGGTGGCCCTACTCCTACTCGACATTCTCAAGTGGGACGTGCTTCGTCTTTCGGCTACATGTAAAACCGGGCTCTGGCTGGTCGCGTTTTGGGCAACACATAGGTGCGTTATCATTCAGCAGTTGGTGGGTTGGTCCCTCATTAAGCTCCCAGATGCTGGCTGCTCTGCTTCCTTCCCTTCTCCAGCCCACTTGGGCGAAGAAAGACCACAGTCTTCCTTCTTCACCACATTCTTCTTTCCATCGTGGCGGTTCGCAGATGGATGGGCAAGAATGCGACCACCGCCAGCATTATGTTCTTGTGGAATAGCAGCTGGAGGACGGAAAACGAGAGACTCCGCAGTCGGAATAACATGGAAGCCAACCTCGAAAACTGCTCCGTTTCTCGCGGCAAAACCCACCTCAAATTGTCTCGCGATCCTTTCGTCTTCGTTTTCAGGGTTTAGGCCAGACATTTTTGAAGGTTCGCTTATTTTGAGGGCTCATTGGGGGCAAGCAACTTGGCTTTTTGTATTTGGTAGCTCTGCTTATAACCTTTGGCCAGACACAACTTGAAGCTGCAAGCAACGCACTTCGACTTTCTCGTCGGGTTATTCTGGTCGTGAAAACTAATAGTGGTGCAAGGTGCTTCTTCCTTCTCTTCTGAGTCTAATAATTCTTGACTATATTCCGGAACTAGATGCCCCCACATCCTCTTTTGCTCCCTTTCATTCATAGCTAAAGCAACAAAGCTTTGAAGCCAAACTTGCGCATGCGAAACCGGGGCAGTGGCTACTCTGGGCGACCTGAGAAGTAACATTCACAGCTGGTTCAACGACAGCAAGGCTGCGCCGTAACTCCACAAAAGCCGTTCTCGTCGACACGTGACTACGACACAGCCACGTCAATTTGGAGTCCTTCGTCGTTCCCCAATGCTGTTCATAGAGGCCTCTCGGAAACCCGACTTCGTTGCTATACCGATTCTTATCCTCCAACATCATGCAATACATCGCTCCAAATCGTCCTAATTGGTTCACAGTTTTGCGTTGAAGATTTTGTCATTGCTGGCCCAACTGGTCGGTCGTGACAGCCAGCGGCTATAGCTTCAAACGCGTCTTGGTATCGTCCCTCGCGCGCAGCTTTCCGAAGACGACAGAAGGAATACACAACACGGCGCCGGATAATTACCAGTACATTGGGGACTACAGGACTTCGATAGAATCGATATGGAGGAGTTTGGGGCGAATATATCTTCACTTTCGTCCATTCAACTCTGTTAATGTTTGCGTATATCAGCAGATTGTATACTTTCGGCCAATACTTGGTAGTTTTTTGTAACTCGTATTAAGTACTATTTATCGGCTGGGGATGTCACTTCGGGGTGACCGTGACAGCACGCGTCTTTCTTTCCTACCTTCATGCCGACCATCCCGCCTCAGCCGCCTGTGCGGCGTCCCCCGCTCCTGGGGCTCCCTAAGCGTCCAGATCACGTTGGAGGGCGAGTCTCCGAAGCGCAATCGGACCCACTATCCGCTGTGCAAGACCGCCTCCGAATCATCCAGAAGCAGCGTGACGAGGAGAAGGCCCACAAGGACGATGCTGTTCGCCGCGCGTTGGTCGCCGAGGCCCGTGTCAGCGCCCTCGAGGCTTTGCTTGCTCAAGCCGAAAAGCGCGAGGTGCAGACAGCACACTCGTGGGCCCAGGACATGCAGGAGTGGAAGCAGGCCGACAAAGACCGCGTGCGCAAGCATGAAAAGCAGATGTCCACCCTCCGCGCCGTCCTGGGGCCCATCACCGACTACATCCTCGCCCCGTCGCCCGAAACGCTGGCACGTGCGAAGGAGCTCACGCGTCTGCGAATCACGACCCCGTCACCCGATCTACTCTCTCAATATGCTAGCTCCGACTCAGAGCCAGAAGACGGCAACGCCACGATGCGCTCTAAACGTCCACGCTCTCCCACGTCAGCGGCAGCTCCTTCTGGTACCCCGCAACTAGCTGGCCCTAGTCGCCCGTCAAAGAAGGCGAAATTGGCAGACGAGGCGCTGGTGGAAGCGGACGGATGAAGAGCAGCATGAGCCCCATTCCATTGACATTCCAATCATAACTCCCCAACTTGAAATCAACACATAAATTGGCACTTCACGAACTCGAAGTTGACATCGCCTTCTTCATACTTACCTCGACCACCGTTTTCTATCAGCATCCAAATCGCAATTCCGTCAGGTACCTCGAACAGTCCCAGCATCCCATCCATTCGACTGTCTTCTCCCAAATCGGCACGCATAATATTGCCTCCCTACGGCCCTTCCGCTACCGCGACTTGTCGCTGTACTTGCACCTGAATACTCGACTGTTAGCATCGCTCTACTCGGACGGATGAAGAGCAGCATGAGCCCCATTCCATTCACATTCCAATCATAACTCCCCAACTTGAAATCGACACATAAATTGGCACTTCACGAACTCGAGGTAAGTATTCGAAGTTGACATCGCCTTCTTCATACTTACCTCGACCACCGTTTTCTATCAGCATCCATTCCGTCAGGTACCTCGAACAGTCCCAGCATCCCATCCATTCGACTTTCTTCTCCCAAATCGGCACGCATAATACGGCCCTTCCGCTACCAAATCGTCCGCGACTTGTCACTGTACTTGCACCTGAATACTCGACTGTTAGCATCGCTCTACTCGTCTCCCCCCATAATTCTCTATGATAGACAGCTTTATTGGCGCAATCCCCGTAGAAATTCAAAGCCTTTGGCAGTGTACTTATCATAGTGGCTCGGTATTGTAGCTCGGGACTACCGTAGTAAATGTACATATTGTGCCTTGGATACATATGTATTGGGGACTACTAAGCGTAAGATTAACGATGTCTTCAACTTATGGGGGGGGTATGCAGGTTGAATGGTAATACGGGTGCGAAGGCCGATGTATGACTCTTGGTCCAGTTCCAAATATACTGGCTGTCCATGGCCATGACAAGAAAGGGGCAATGAGCGACTGCCACGTAGGCCCCGAAACACACGCCATCGCCACGAAGAGTCCTTATGGTGTGTATGCAGGATGAAGACGAGCGGGAATGGGGCGGAAGGAATATGAGAAGATTTGGGAGGAGACGCCAAATTGCCCGCCATACATGTTTGAATTCCAGTCTCGACTAGGATGAGCAACGATGACTTTTCGCAGTAGATTGGCCAGCGGTGGAGTTGTTTGGGAAGTGACATTGAGATGGAGGAGTTGGTTACGACGGGGGGGATGGCTTCAGATGTAATGTGTGAATGCAGGAGGCTGCGTCGATGATTAGAGACGACAAAGAAAAATAGGACCAGCTCACAGCCTGTTTTATCGTCCCTTTTGCCTTGAGCTCCGATAGACTTCAATACTAACATTACGCGGCATCTAGCGTTGAGAACGCGGGTGATGTAGTAGTCACTCCAACAAGAGCATGTCTAGTTTCGCAGAACTCGCAGATGGGTCATGACGAAGAGGGCCCGGGAGCAGTTAAGAAACTAAGGGGTTCATATAGGCGGTATCGAGAGAGAAAGCAAGAAAACGCACTGCAGTAGCCCGACCCTGAACAATCGCTTTGCCTCGTCGTGTTGTAGGGTGCTGCCTTGCAAGACAGCAACAGCAGCCACAGTCACCGGGAGTGCGTCAGAACAACAGCAGGCCCGGAATCTTGAAAAGGCGGGTCTGCTGAGAGTCAGCAAGTTGGAGGTGAGGTAGGAGCGGCTGCGGACACATTTGCAGTTCTGCTTCCGCCACTTTGTTTATATCGCGGAGGCTGCGACCAATGAGAAAGCAAAGGGGAAAGGAATGCAGTTGACATACGACTATTTCGCTCCCATGTGTACGTCCGGCGGGCGAGCAGAGGAAGAGAAGAGGTCGATGAAGTGTGGAGCGCCATGGTGGTGCAAAAGAAGGAGGAAACAGCGTGAGATGATCGACAGTCGCCTCCCAATGACAAGCTTCTTTCTGACTGCCATTCATGCATATCGTGCTGGAGACTGCTGAGCTTCTTGGCCTCATCTGCTCCGAACTAGCTGCCGCCAATGCTCACGAAAGCTTAGCCACACTGGCTCGGACTTCCCCAGCATTCACTGAAAGCGCACTGGACGCCTTGTGGCTTTCGCAGGACACCATCTTCAATCTCATTAGACTCTTGCCGGACGATTTATGGGCTTTGGATACAGAGAAGCGCGTGGTATATGCCCATCTTCCCACCAAAGTCGTGTTAGCAGACCCATATTTCAGGTCTTCATTCGCGCCACCAACGAAACCGACTTCGCTCTATTCCTCCAATATACCAAACGCGTGCGCCATCTAACGTGCAGTGTGTTTTATATGGGTCGTGGACTCCCCAGTGGAGCTCAATGGGTTAACATGCGGATGGTATTCGACAGCCTCTTTGACCGTTTCCGCCACACCGTCATTTTCCCCAATATCAGGAGGCTTGGCTGGGTAGTGCGAAATACCGAACACTACAACCCGTGGCTGTCTCTTTTCCTCGGTCCATTCCTCCATTCCATTGATGTCGCATATGCGGGAATTGGAAGCGATGCTCTCTTGTCCCTCATCCGCCAGTCGACGAGCGTTCAATCCTTGACACACTGTCGACTGTCCGGCGCCCCGGTGTCTCTTCCCGCAATGCAGCATGTCTCTGCACTCCTTCAAAGGCTCACCGCTGTTAAGGAGCTTGTGATCTCTAATCTCGACGTGCCTGCGACGCAAACACTTGGTCAACTAAAACACCTAAAGACCCTCGACATTTTTCTTCCAGTTCCTGCTGATGCACCGCTGGGGTCTATCGTAGCGCACAGCCTCCCATTCTCGTCGCTCGAATCACTTACGACCACTGTTGACAATTCATGCGGCGGAGATCTCCAGCAACTGCACGATTTCTTCCAGTTGTGGGAAGCTGGGAGTGTCCCCTTGCGAACTCTCCAAACGACTGTCATAGATGAGATACCCAGTGCGGGGCTTCTCAAGGACATATTTTGCCTCCTTGCTGATGGTTGCGCGCCAAACACTCTGCAGACTATGATCTTCGTTCTTCAAGCAAACGACCGAGTTATTCGAGCATCCACGACATCTCCACACATTGGCGTCGCTTTACGACCCCTCCTCCGCATGGCCAGCCTTTCCAACGTTAACATCGAGCTGCCATTCGGAATACACGTTGATGATAGCTTCCTCGGAGATGCCGCCCAGTCCTGGCCACACCTGAAACGTCTAACCCTCGCGCGCTCGCAAGCCGACCCAGATGACACTGTAACTGGGCCCATCCCTCCCTCAGTCCCCCCTCCGCGGAGTCCCAGGCCACGCGCGACTCTACTTGGCCTTGCTGCACTTGCGCAACACTGTTTACAGCTCGAATATCTCTCGCTGTCCGTCGACACGACCATTCCGGCTCCAGAATCATGGCCAGACATTCTCGGGCTGGGATCGACAGCGCCCACCGCCGGCAGCAAGCCATGGCCCGAGCGCAACACATGCCCGCTGACCTGCTTCAATACGCGCGACTCGCCGGTCACGAACCCCCCTTGCGGTGGGCTGGTTTCTCGGTGTTACGTTCCCCAGTCTCCAGGAAATCAAGACACCGCATATGATGCCCTCCGAGATATTTGAAAGCGAGCTTGTGGCCACAGACGACGACGAACAAGCGCGGCTGCGGGCGGTGCATATGGACTACGGACATCGATGTCAGGAGGCGATGCAAGTGCTCTTGCTGGTGGATGAGATAGTAAGGCTGGGCATTGATAGCTATGGACGGCTTATGGCGGAGCTAGCAAAATGCCAGCAGCAGATGGGAATCACGGAGTAATTTCTGGCTACGAAGTCTGTCTAGAGAGAAGTGGCTACTATGTATACATACGTGTAGGTTAAGGTTCGACTCTAATTCAGTTGCAAGTAAGTAACACATCAAGCTGGAATGAGTGAGAGTCGACACTCGATAATTGATCACGTTATTGCTTAGGCTTCTGGCCCATTCACCTTCACATTCCTTGCCTGCATTGCCTGAGATGGCGGTTCCGAGTTATGGGGGACATACTGTAAAAAAAGTATTTAATACATGTTTTAAACTGGATACAACTTTTTGAAGGTACAACTTGCCTTCTTTAGAGTTTTTAGATACAACTTTGCTAATTAAATACAACTTTTCACCCTGTGTACATGTACAAGTCAACCTCAAAGACAGCTTTTCTGGGGACATGTTTTACTCTGGTTGGTGACAAGTTTATACTTGATGTAAGGGCAACCCCGGAGGCCTGAGATCAAGGTCCTAGCAGGGGAGGATCCAAAGCGTGAACATTGGTAAGCAAATACAAATGAAGCTGACCTAGCAGGGGAGGATGCAAAGAGAAGAAACTCTAAGGGTCCGCCTGCTAGGTAGCTGACTATATACTGCTTGTCCGTAGCTGCCGCTGTCGGGCACAGAAGGCTTGGGCGGCGTCGCAGGCGAGGTCCCAGGGCGACCGTCGGGAGGGCGTTGACGGATCGGTGATTGGTCGGGCGAGATGGAGGGCCGGACCGGAGACGGAACCGGAGTCGGACCGGAATCGGAGGCGTCTCCGAGGGGCCGAAAGGGAGGTTCCCCTGACATCACCCCCCCCTTTGAATGCAGCGTCCCGACGCATAGACCGGAACGGAATCGAGTCGAAGGTCGCAGAGGCGATGTGTCGTGGCTTGCCAGGGTACTTACAATAGAACTCCGCAATTTTCTCCGGGGCGAAGACGCGGTCGAAGCGGACCCACTGGTCGTGCGACGCGTCGTAGCCTTTCCATCTGACGAAGTAATTCAGCCGTTTATACCTCACCCTTGCGTCCAAGATTTCCTCTACTTCCCACTCCGGGACTCCGTCCTCGAGGTCCGGAGGGGGCTGGTCGTAGCCGGGGCGTCCGTCGAAGGGGTCGTCCTGGGCGAGCTCGAGCTTGACGACGGGGAAGACCGGGTGGAGCTTCGAGTAGCGGAGGGAGGTCGAGCTTGTAGGCACCTTTGCTGATCTCCGCGACTATCTTGAACGGTCCGAGGCGGCGATGGGAGAACTTTTCCGAGGGGCGAGTCGTCCTGATGTCAGAGGCATCCAGCCAAACACGGTCGCCAACCTTAAACTCCGGAGATGGAGTCCGTCTCCGGTCGTAGTAGCGCTTGTACTCCTCTTTGGCCTTAGTGAGCGGCCTTGGCTTCAGCAACACCGGTGGCGATCCGGTCACGGAACTCGTTCACTGACTCCATGGCGGAACGGACTCCGGGTTGAAGCCCATGCGCGGGAGCCGTCCCGTGTCCGTCATGAAGGGGACCTGCTGCGTGGAGGAGTGAACATGGTTGTTGTAGGCGAACTCCGCGGCCGGAATCAGCTCATCCCAGTCGTCCTGCTGGTAGTTGGTGAAGATCCGCAGGTATTGCTCCAACTCCTGGTTGACGCGCTCTGTCTGACCGTCCGTCTGTGGATGATACGCGGTGGACGTGGCTGGCTTGATGCCGATTAGACGCCAAAGTTCTCGGGTGAAGTCCGCGATGAACTGCGAGCCGCGGTCGGAGACGTACTTCTCCGGAGTCCCATGGTGCCGCCAGACATTCCGGTAGTAGAGGCGGGCTGCCCCTACTGCATCGACCGTCGTATGACGCTCTGAGAAGTGGGCGCGCTTTCCGAGGGTGTCAACGACGACCATGATCGCGTCGTACCCATGGGCTTCGGGAAGCTCTACGATGAAGTCGACGGAGACGGTATGCCAGCGTCCGGGGCGTTTCCGTGGGGTGCAGTTCTCCGTGGGGCAGTCTCCGGAGTGCCTTGGTGCGACAGCACAAGTCACAGGTCGCAACATACCGGCCGATATGGCGAGACATCTGAGGCCACCAGTAGTTCCGGGAGACCAACTCCAGGGTCTTGAAACGACCTGCGTGTCCGGCGACTCGGGTGTCATGGCAGAGCTCGATGATGCGTCTCCGGAGGTCCTTGTCCTTTGGTACGACGATCTTTCCTCGGAAATGGAGAAGACCGCCGGAGACGGCCCACTCGTCAGAACGTGAGGAGCGGGGGCCTCGAGCTTGACCTTGAACCTTAAGAAGTTGCCGGGCCGCTAGTGCGACGGGCTCCTCCAGGTCAGGCTCACCGGAGAGGGCATCACGGATGTCGCGGAGGAGTTCAGAGCCGGGACCGGAAACGGAAACGCCCTCGAGTGCGCGGGACGTGGAAGAGTTCAGGCCGCAGAAGGACGACATCGGAGTTGTCGGAATCGACTCCGTGGTCGGGTCTCCGGGAGAGGGCGTCAGGCCGACCCATATCGCGGCCAGGCTTGTGGTGCAGCGTGAAGTCGAACCGGGAGAGGTACAGAGACCACCGGGCCTGTCTCCGGTTGAGGTGCTGCGTCTTCCTGAAGTACTCCAAATTCTTATGGTCAGTCCAAATCTCGACAGGGTGCGCGGCGCCCTCGAGGAAGTGTCTATACTCCTCGAGTGCGCGGATGATCGCGAGCATCTCCTTGTCGTGGATTTCGTAGTTGCGCTGGACATCATTTAAGCTTTTGGAATAGAATGCTACAGGGTGCCACTTCCCGTCCGGGGCGGATTGTGAAAGAACCGCCCCCGTCGCATAATCAGAGCTGTCCGCCTCGAGTCGGAAAGGCCGTGCATCGTCCGGAATCGCCAGGACCGGTTCCGAGGTGACCGCGTCCTTGATCGCTTGGAATGCGGAGGCCTCCGCGTCGCCCCAAGTCCATTGCTGGTCCTTCTTGGTGAGCACGAAAAGAGGGCGCGCAAGGGTTGAGAAGTCCCGAATGAACCTGCGGTAGAAGTTAGCGAACCCAAGGAACTGCTGAATGTCCTTCTTGTTTTCCGGAGTCGGCCAAGCGGAGACGCCTGCGACCTTGACGGGGTCCATTTCGACGTGGTTGTGGGAGATGATGACTCCGAGATACTCGATTGACGATTTTTCAAAGTCGCACTTCTCCGCTCGAAGGTACAACTTGTGCTCCCGGAGTCGCCGTAAGACCTCCTGGACAATCTGCCGGTGTTTCCGGAGGTCGGAATGGGCGATCAGGATGTCGTCAAGGTAGATCATGACGTCTCCGGAGAGGATGAGATCCTGGAAAATGTCATTCATCATCGTTTGGAATGTCGCGGGAGAGTTTGTCAGGCCGAAATACATCACCAAGGGCTCGAACAGGCCTCGGTTAGTCCGGAAAGCCGCTTTCCACTCGTCACCTTCCTTGATCCGGACGTTGTTGAAGCCCCAACGGACGTCGAGTTTGGTGAAGTAACGAGCACCTTTGAGCCGGTTGATGAGGTCGTTGATCAGCGGAAGGGGGTACCGGTTTTTGACAGTCATCGCGTTGAGAGCACGGTAGTCCTGGACGAAGCGGAGTCCTCCGTCCTTCTTCTTGACGAAGAAGACCGGAGACGCCATCGGAGACTTGGAGGGGCGAATCCGGCCCGTCGAAAGCCCTTCCTCGATGAACGCGTCGAGCTCGCGTTGCTCGAGGGGCGAGATGGGGTACACCTTGCAGTTGGTGGGCTTAGCGTCGGGGACAAGCTCAATGGCGTGGTCCCAGGCTCTCCGCTCCGGTAGCGTGTCGAAGGACTCCTTGTTGAAGACGTCCTGGAACTCCTTAGCCCAGTCCGGGATCTCGGAGGGCGGTGGGGCGGAGTTCTTGGCGAAGGCTTCGGCCAGACGCTGTGAGACGGTGCTACCTGCGCGTATCTCCTCTGAGGGACGGAACGAGGTGTAGAAGATGCGGTCACCATCTTCGAGCTGGTCATCTTCGTCATCCGAGTCCGAGTCCGGCGTCAGATCAGGCAGGTCGGAATCGAGACCGGAATCGGAATCGTCTCCGTCCTCAGGGCCAGAGAGGTCCATAGTGCAAACCGAGGGGAACGGGCCGGAGCGGAGACGCTTCTGAAGCGACTGGAGTCGCCGCAGCTCGGTCCGTTCGACGCGCTCTTCCTCACAGCAGGTCGAGCAATTGCGGGGGCACCGTGTCATCTTGACCTCCTTGGTTTCCCAATTGATCTCTGGGTTATGTTTCCGCAACCAGGAATACCCCAGGATGAGGTCTTGCTTGCCAAGATGGGTGACGGCCAGTTGAACTTGTTCGGCATGGCCCTTGTAGCGCAGGACCAAGTCCGCGATCTGTTTGATGGAGCCAGCGTCATTGGGGGTGCCATCGACATTGAAAACCGGAATCGGCTGATCGAGGGTGCGGACTGGAATGCCATTCCGAGCAACATAGTTCGTGTCAATGAAGTCGGAGGTGGCACCACAGTCGACAAGCCCAGAGAGCGAGAGCTTTAACGCACTCATAGTTCGTGTCAATGAAGCGCACCAGTGGGAGCTTAGTATGCATATGGAATACAAGGAGCTCACAGCGCGTCACGCTCAGTGGGAGTGTTGAAATGCGGAGCGTACCGCGTTATTCGCCGGTTACTGCCCAGACCGTAGCCCCTGTGTAGGTATATAAGCGTCATATAGTCTCCTAATAAACCTGTTCTCTTCCCGCCATCTGCTTCTCCTCGAGTGGCCCGTCCCGAGCGAGTTCCCCCGAGCCGTCCTGTTCCAACATAAACAGACCCAGACCTGTACCTGTGCTCTATCATACAAGTGGTAAGCAGTGAACAGGAAGGGGAAATT